GGACAAGCCACGTGGAGGCGGCCGTGGTGGACTGGCCTCTGGTGGCTTGTGTCGCGCCCTGCGCTCCTACGCTCTCTGCACGCGGCGCACGGCCCGCACCTGCCGCGGGGACCTCGCTTTCCACTCTGCGGTGCATGGCATAGAGGACCTGATGATCCAGCATAACTGCTCACGCCAGGGTCCCACGGCCCCGCCCCCTGCCCGAGGCCCCGCCCTGCCCGGGGCCGGGCCAGCGCCCCTGACCCCAGATCCCTGTGACTATGAGGCCCGGTTTTCCAGGCTGCACGGTCGAGCCCCGGGCTTCTTGCATTGCGCCTCCTTTGGAGACCCCCATGTGCGCAGCTTCCACAACCACTTTCACACATGCCGTGTCCAAGGAGCTTGGCCCCTGCTAGATAACGACTTCCTCTTCGTCCAGGCCACCAGCTCCCCAGTGGCATCCGGAGCCAACGCTACCACCATCCGGAAGGTCAGAGATTCAGTTTGAGTCCTCTCACGGTCCATCCGACCAGTCCTCCTTCTTCCGTCAGTCACCCAGCTCCCTGTTCCTTGCCTTTCCCAAACATTCCCTTCCATCCTGAATGGCTTCCTTCCATCAAACATTTGCTCTTGTAAATGTAATTCCTCTTAATGGGAATTTCATTCAAATGTAGGTAACTTGGAAGTTGCTGAGATTGAGACGAAAAGGAGAGAGAAAGGGTGGGGGGCGCGGGGGGCAGACAGAGACAGAGATATTAGGAGGTTGAGTAGGGGTCAGGTACTATTGATGGAACACAATAGGGGATAGGATTAAGAACCGAGGACCAGGAGGTAACTTGCATTCTGCTGAAATCAGATCTCTGACTCTATGCAGCTTGCTTGGCGTGAGGATGCTCTGAGCCCTAATGAACTATTTTCTCTCTTGTCCTCATAGATCACTGTCATATTTAAAAACATGCAAGAATGCATTGATCAGAAAGTCTACCAGGCTGAGGTGGACAATCTTCCTGCAGCCTTTGAAGATGGTTCTATCAATGGGGGCGACCGACCTGGGGGCTCGAGTTTGTCCATTCAAACTGCTAACCTTGGGAGCCATGTGGAGATTCGAGCTGCCTACATTGGAACAACTATCATCATTCGACAGACAGCTGGACAGCTCTCCTTCTCCATCAGGGTAGCCGAGGATGTGGCGCGGGCCTTCTCCGCTGAGCAGGACCTACAGCTGTGTGTTGGGGGGTGCCCTCCGAGTCAGCGACTCTCTCGCTCAGAGCGCAATCGTCGTGGGGCTATAGCCATAGAAACTGCCAGAAGGCTGTGTAAGGAAGGACTTCCGGTTGAAGATGCCTACTTCCAATCCTGCGTCTTTGATGTTTCAGTCTCCGGTGACCCCAACTTTACGGTGGCAGCTCAGACAGCTCTGGACGATGCCCGAGTCTTCTTGACGGATTTAGAGAACTTGCATCTTTTCCCCTCAGATGCAGGACCTCCCCTCTCTCCAGCAACCTGCCTGGTTCCACTTCTTTCGGCCCTCTATGTTCTGTGGCTTTGCATTCAGTAAGTAGGCCAGCAACCCGTGACTGGTTTGGAAATGATATGAGGATAGAGGTTGGTGTGAGAAAACACAAAGATGTGCCAAAGGAAACAGTGGGGACAGGAGACAACGATGCTTACTCAATCAGACGAGGGCAGTCCAGGGCTGAAATGACCCTAGAATAAAGATTCAGAGCCAGGGTTTTGCACTCCAGACCTTGGTATGGGCTCTTCGCCATGAATTCCCCCAGTTAGTGATTTCCTACTTGTAATGAAATTCCACTCTCCTACAAGCCTAGAGATTGTGAGAGTGCTAATGTCCAGCAAAACATTAGGATTGAAATATCTTAAAGGCAAAAACTAAAAAAGGGAAAACATGATTCTCTATAAGAAAGAAAAAAGAGGAGAAACTAATTAGGGAAAGCTTTTTGGATTAAAATGAAGTGGGCATTGTCTGGCACAGGAAATCAGCTTTTGGAGACTGGCACCAACACAGAAACTGGCATCTCCACCCCTTCCTAATCTGTTATTAAAGCAGTAAGTTCTCCATCCTGTCCTCTGTTGTCTGTGTTGAATGCCTTTATAGATGTGTGGAATGGAGTTGAGGCTATGTGTTCACTCCATGGAAAGAGGCCTTACAGTTATCAGCCCTTGTCTTGTCCCTCGTGGAGTCTACAGGCTCTTGGACTGGAAAAAAATGGTTCACAGGAAGGAGTCATGAGTGTTTGTTTTTTATTTTCAGTGGAGTCTCATGTAGCCCAGGCTGACCTTGCATTGCTGGTCCAACTGTCTCTACTCCTCAAATGCTGGAGGTGAAGTTTTTGGAGAAGTGTATGATTCTTCACTGGATTCTGTAGCGTTTGGATTCCTGTGGGAAGATGATTGTTAAGAATCAGAGTAATGAGAAGTAATAAAGACACAGGGATGACACTGTAGACGGTGGGACAGGAACAGTTCAGGAAGTGAAAACCATTGGCAGTTATCCACAGTCATGATTAGTGGTAAAACCAGCGGGACTCTAACAAGGAGTCATGAGATAGTTAGATAGGCAGAAGGAATTACAAAGCACCTTAGGGTGGGATCAAGGAGTTCAGATCTGATCACAAACACTTACTTAGTGCTTAAAATATATGTTATAAACACATTTAAAATGCATGGACCTGGAGAGATGGCTCAGTAGTTAAGAGCACTGACTGCTCTTACAGAGGACTCAGGTTCTGTTCCCAGGGCCCACAATGCTCTAACAATGACCTGCAACTCTAGTTCCAGGGAATATGACATACCCTCTTCTGGCATTTGGAAGCATATACTGCACACAAAATTCATGCTGAACAGACACTCATACACATAAAAATAAAAAAATATTTAAGTTTTTGCTTCACTACTTTGTGTTCCCTATCTTTGGATCCTCGAATGAAAGACACACACACATTTCCTGCTAGACACGTTAGCTTATTTTTAAAATGCCTCGGCTACCTCAAAGGCTGGGCATTCCTAAACCTTCCCCTGCTATCCCAGGCCCAATCGGGGAAGTGGCCAGTGGCCACATGGCTCGTTGGCTTTATCTTCTGTGGCTACTGCATCCTATCTTTCTTCCCTGAGCCATGGTATTTCTCTCTTGTTCCTCTCTGTGTCCTCACCTGAGCAACTCTTAAGGACCCTGCCCCATGCCTAGTCATTGGCTGTTGGCATTTTTGTTAATTGATCAAAAACCAAATTGGGGACAAGGTCTTTTAGTGTTTGGACATGCAGATTCTTGATTGAATCAAAGCATTAGAACAAATCTCCAACACCAAATACACACACATATGCATAAACATTTTAATATATTTAAATATATATATGTGTGTGTGTGTGTGTGTGTGCATTAAGGGCTAGGCATGTAGCTCAGTGACGGAGCAGTGGCCCAGCATGTACAGGAACCCTGAGTTTGATCACCAGTATTGCAAAATGATAATAGTAATAATGACAATAATACTAATAGTTATTTTGACTTGGTGTGGTGGACATTACAGTAATCCTAGCACTCAAAGTGGAAGCAGAAGGATCAGAAGTTCAAGGTCATATTTAGCTATATATAGGCCAGCCTGGGCTACATGAAATCCTATTTCAACCTTCCTTCCTCAAACTAAACTAAGTAATAATAATTATTCATAACTCTCTAAGAAAGATAGTCTTCTTTTAACTGTACCTATCACTTCATGTCTGCCTGTCTGTACACATACACACACACACACACACACCTTATCTTTATATTGATACTGGTGGAGGGTTTCTGTGCATTGGGGATGAACCTGGGCCTGTGTATGCTGTCTAAGCGCTATACCCTAGAGTATATCTCTATTTCTACTATAAGGAAGTTGTAGTACAGAAAGATTGAGCAACTTTCCCGCGGACATACAGCTAATAAGTAGCAGAGTCAGAGACTGAACAGACACAAGCAAAACACCCATGACACAAAATAAAGCTTTAAAAAAAAAACTTTAAGCCAGGCAGTGGTGGCACACGCCTTTAATCCCAGCACTTGGGAGGCAGAGGCAGGCGGATTTCTGAGTTCGAGGCCAGCCTAGTCTACAGAGTGAGTTCCAGGACAGCCAGGGCTACACAGAGAAACCCTGTCTCGAAAAACAAAAATTTTTATTGTTTAAATAAATAAATAAATAAATAAATAAATAAATAAAACTTTAAAAATGGAAAAGCAAACAAAACAAAACAAAAAGGGGTAAAACACCTGCCATCAACCTCTGGCTTTCACATGTGAGAGCAGTGGCCAACACCGGCAGCCCCAGCACAGGGAGGGAGAGGCGGGTAGATCTCTAGGACTTTGAGGCTATTGTGGTCTACATAGTGAGTTTCAGGCCAGCCAGGGCTACATGGTGAGACCCTGTCTAAAACAAAAACAAGCAAACAAAACCACTACAAACTCAAAATTTTAATAAAAGACTGACAATCCTTAATATTGTCAAAATGTGGGATGATGTTCCAGATGTGGGATGATGTTCCAGATGTGGGATGATGTTCCAGGTGTGGGATG